GGAATGGTCATGGCAATGAGGAGAGATGCTTGAGGGCAGGAAGAAAGCCATTGTCACTCCAGTCTTCAGAAAGGGCAAGAAGGAGGACCCAGGGAACTACAGGCTGCTCAGTCTCACCTTAATCCCTGGAAAGGTGATGGAGCAGCTCATGCTGGACACCATCTCCAAGCACTTGAAGGATAAGAAGGTGATCAGCAGTTGTCAGCATGGATTCACACAGGGCAAATCCTGTGTAACCAACTTGATAGCCTTCTGAGATGAGATGACTGGCTGGACAGATGAGGGGAAAGCGGTGGATGTCGTCTCCCTGGACTTCAGCAAGGCTTCCAACACTGTCTCCTGTCACATCCTCATAGACAAGCCCAGAAAGTGTGGGCTAGATTAGCGGAGAGGGAGGCGGATTGGGGACTAGTTGAATGACAGAGCTCAGAGGGTCGTGATCAGTCGAGCAAAGTCTAGTTGGAGGCCTCTAGCCAGCAGTGTCCCCCAGGGGTCAGTCCTGGGTCCAGTCTTGTTCAATGTATTCATCAGTGGCCTGGAGGAAGGGACAGAGCGCACCCTCAGCAAGTTTGCTGATGATACTAAACTAGGAAAAGCGACTGATACCCCAGAGGGCTGTGCTGTGCTGCCATTCCAAGAGACCTGGACAGGCTGGAGAGATGGAAGTTCAACAAAGGCAAGTGCCGAGTCCTGCATGAAGGCAGGAATAACCCCATACACCAGTACAAGCTGGCAGGTGACCTCCTGGGAGTGCTGGTGGACAAGAAGTTGACCATGAATCAGCAGTGTGTCTTTGTGGCCAAGAAGGTCAATAGTATCCTGCGCTGCATTAGGAAGAGGTCGAGGGAGGTAATCCTCCCCCTCTTCTCAGCCCTGGTGAGGCCTCACCTGGAGTACTGCATCCAGTTCTGGGCTCCCCCAATACAGGAGAGACCTGGAGCTACTGGAGTGAGTCCAGCAAAGGGCTCCTAAGATGATGAAGTGACTGGAGCATCTCTTCTATGAGGAAAGACTGAGAGAGCTGGCACTCTTCAGCCTGGAGAAGAGAAGACTCAGGTGGGATCTGATCTGTGTGTACAAGTACCTGAAGGGAGGGTGTCAAGCGCCTGGGGCCAAACTCTTTTCACTGGTGCCCGGTGATAGGACAAGAGACAACAGACACAAACTGAAACACAGGAAGTTCCATCTGCATCTCAACATGAGGAAAAACTTGAGGGTGCCTGAGCACTGGGATAGGTTGCCCAGAGAGGTATAGTCTCCACCTTTGGCGCTACTGAAAGGTTGTCTGGATACGGTCCTGGGCAACATGCTCTAGGTGATCCTATGTGAGAAGGGGGGTTGGACTAGATGATCTCCAGAGGTCCCTTCCAACCTCAGCCACTCTGTGATTCTGTGACTTGGCTGAACTCAGGTCACCACAGTGCATGCAAGCAGATTGTTTCCTCTAGCATTTTATGTTCCAGACAGGAAGTACCTGGAAAACTATGTGGCTCAGCTCTGCTCAGGAAGGCCCACAGTTCCATTTTGCTGCACAGTCAGTAACAAGCATCCACGGGGCTAATGCTCCTTCCCTTCAGTCAGGCAAGGAGCTGTAGCTGCAGTTTGGCGAGCAAAGGGCAGGACATCAGCAACATTGCAGAAAATAGTCTTGTGAGGGCACGCAAGGGGGAACATCCCCCCAGCCATAACTCCTGAAGCACACCCAGGTTTGACAAGGTGGCCCACACAGGTCAGCTAAGGCCCAGTGTGAAGTGAACAGCATCCCCAATTGATTTGGATGGAAAAAGAGACCAAAGCGTCACACAGGGAACTGCTATTGACAGGAAAGAGGGAGTCTTCTGGCATGAATTGGTATATGTTCCAGGCTGCTGCCTGGTGTAATAGCAGCCAGGAATGAGACTGCTTACTGCAGAAAGGTTGGAGAAGGGAGCAGGGGAAAGAGCATGTTTGGAGAGATCAGCCACAAGAAAGACTCTGAGTGTGAGGAGAAGGGAACCCGGTGTCACAAAGCCAGGCAGGAACACATCGCGGAGGTATGTTCCTTGAGCTGAAGCGATGGTTGTAGCTACAGGGCTATACATGCCACAGGACAGGAGGGAAGAAGCCTCAGCGATGAGGCAGGAGAGAAGCTGTATTCTGTGAAGAGTGATGCCATATGACAGAAAAGGATTTCTGTTTGTGCTAGTTGGAAATCCCTAACAAAACACACAGGGTATTATACATGCAGCTTGCATAGTCAATGCAACGTGCACCAGCCATGTGTAAAACCCAAAAGAGTTCTGGAAAGTGACAGAATTTCACTCTTTTGAAAGTGTCATGATCAAGAGCCTGTTCCACTCAGATCAGTATCGTTTTCCTGTATATCCTCCAAAAGTTGGACATTCCTTTCCTCTATGCAGACCACAGGGATATCCATCAGGACTTGCACTGAGACTAGCTAGCAGGTCATAGTTGCACACCTTCACAGCAGCAATGACAGTGAAACACCAAAAGACTCCAGTAACTCTAATGCTGCAGATCTTCAAGAGCCCAGCAGCATGTGCACTGCAATGGCAAGCCCTGTGTGAACTCAGTGGGAGGGAGCACATGCTGCAGAAGCAGGAAGGGTCTCACCAGAGTGAAGCAGGGGCATATGGGATTCCCAGAGGTGGTCCATTCAGTGTGCAGCATGGGTGCTGCTTGGGCACTATCAAGGCTTCCAGTGTGAACACAGACAACTGTTTCAGTTTGAGGAACAGCCCTGGCCTTATTTTTAAAGGGCCTTCTTAGACAGCAGCGTGGACGTTTCCAGTCTCCTGTACAGAGTTTCTGGCAGAAGGTCTAGAAAGTATCTTCAGGAGATTTCCTCTCCTATTCACTCACTCACCACAGATACAATCACTGATCCACTTGCCTACTTGGAAGCATGTTGTAGCTCATCCAGTATTCCTTCTCCTTTTAGTTGCAAACTGGTGCTATAAAACATGCTGAGCTTCCACACGTTCTGTGAAATCTCAGGCAACTACCTGACATGAGAAGTTTTGTCTCTCCCTCTCCCAAACACATACAAACATACACACAGACACACACACACGGACACGCACATACACAGGCAAATTGCTGACTCCCCTGAGGCTGGCCATTCTTTTAAGATCTCTGATAATTCTCACTGCTCTCCATAAGGTCCTCGCCAGATGGTCTGCAACTGTCTTGAATTGCAGCCCAAAGCACAGGGAAATGAGGCCTTGCCACAGCTAAGCCATACAGAAAGCTTTTGAAAGTCTTGCAAGCCATGTTTCTGTGTACACAGTCTATGGTTATGAAGATCAGCATGGCAGCATGTTTAGCCTGGAATCCACAGTAACCTCTAGCTCTGTTTCAAACAAAGTGCTTCCCAGAAAATTGCATCACTTGAGCTTATGCTCCATTTGTCCCTACCTCCATTAAATAGAATCACAGTTTTCCACCCCACAGTTCCACTGTGTAAATAGATCTATATCTGATGTAATCCCTTTCCCTTTCTTAGACTATATCTTGCTTTAAAGATTCTGAGGAGAAGGCAGCCACACAGGAAGACCCTAAACCCTTAATGTCCCAGTTACCCTTATGTGGTCTTGTTTTATCTGGTGGCATCAGCAGCTTCACCATTCTGTCTGCCATCTTTGAATAAGGACATTGAAGCTCTGCTTTTTGAAGGCATCAGAAGTGCTCATAGGTCAGGATTTTAACTGATCTCTGTGAAGAATGCATCTCCTACTTTTACTAACAGCAGGCAGCTGATTGGAGTAGATTCTTCTGTTCAGTACCCATTAGGAACTGTAATAAGAAATGTGTTAGATAGATGGGAGACCACAAAGTCATTGAGTACTTAGGGGAATCTCATGGTGTAGGACCCTAGAACGAAGCGGGGTCCAGGAGAGCTGGTTAATATTCAAGTATCACTTCCTCCAGGCTCAAGAGCAGTGCATTGCTCTTGAGTAAGAAGACCAGCAAAGTGGGCAGGAAACGTGCATGGATGAGCAAGGAACTCCTGACAAAACTCCAACAGAAGAAGGAAGACTACAGAATATGGAAAAGGGGACAGGCCACTTGGGAGGAACATAGGGACATTGTCGGAGTATGAGACCACCGCTCTGCCGCCTCCTCACACCACCAGGGAGACATGACAGCCCCAAGCTTCGAGCGTTCCTCGCTCACCTTGTGTGGCTACTGGGGGATGGGGCCCTGGCTGGGGATGTCCCTGCCTTGCCGGGTATGTTGCTGTGTTTGATTCCTAAAGTCACCTAGGGATAGAATGTTGCCTGTAGAATCAATGCCGGAGTTGTGTACTTAATCATGTCTCCTTAATTCATATCCTTTGAATATCTCTCTAGTTTATGAAAGGCTGAGAGCATAGAGCAGGTAACCCTCAACTAACAAGTATAAAAAATCCTGTCTAGTAGTTCTGAGGGAACTGGAACTAACCCTTTCGACAACAAACTGAGAAGAGGAATCCTGTGGAAGTTCTGAGCAGTTGAAAACCTCTGTCTTTGTTCTATGTTTGTAGCTTCTTTATAAAAAGAAAACCTAAAAGAAGAAAACTAACTAAAACCCCTCAAACTCCTTAGTCTTATTCTACATATTAATCATTCATCAAGCAGAGTATCATGTTTCCTGCTATCAGCACCCAACAATCAGGAGCAACTGTGTAAACTAACAATTAGATACCAAGATATGTAATAGTACATGAGGCTTAAGCATGCAGCAATTTTCTCTCAGTTAAGCTGTTTCAGCGCAATCCCCTTTATTGAAAGATAATGGTAGTATATGTCATGTCTCGTCTTAGATTAGCAATATTTCCTTTTTTAGGGATTGGAAAAATGTAGTCAGTTAGTACCGACAGCCCTCTCTCCGCCCTTAAGAATTCTGACACACAGTTCCTGTTGTTTCCTACTTCTGTTCCTATAGGAGGATTGGAACAGTGTACCACAAAGGAATCTGCATAGCTTGGCCCCTTTACAACTTTCTCACTCTGATTTTAGCTCTGTGCGCAGGAGACTTTGAAGGACCCCTTGAGCTGAAGCAGCCAAATAAAATTCCTGGGTCCGATGCCTTGTGAAATTGAATGATATCTCCTGCCCGTTTTGAATGCTGCTTGCTTCGTAGTGACAAAGGTGAGTCCGTGGTTGTGTTGTACTAGAAAGCATGTTTCATGCCACAACCTTGAGGGGGAAAAAAAAAACACAAAGGAGATCAAGAAAAATGCAAAGGAGATCAAGAAACAGCATTAAGATGATAGGTGTAGAAGGGGACACTGAACCTACAATATATAAAGGTACAGAGGAACAACCTTGAACACCATTCATGGCAGAAGACCATGAACAGGAGAGGAGCTTTTGAGAGGAAAATGAACCCCTGCAGCTATGTTTTCTAGGCAGATTAGAGGAACAAGGCTGCAGGAGGCATACTGATAGTGAGCTAGAAGCATAAAGAAGGCCAAAAAACTGAGGCCCAGACTATAGGAGACATCATTTCAATAGAAGAGAATAGGAGAATCTATTTCAAGTTAGGGTTGTGCAGTCTAAAAGAGACTGGATATAAAGGATATAAGGTAGAACTATATCTGTGGATATAAAGCAAGTGAGGCATGAATATGCCAATTTCTGAGGCAAAATCTGGAAATGGAATGACTGGATATCATGCAGTTTCCTAAAGTGTTTGTGGGCTGGTCAGGAAAGTTCGTAGGGCAGGGGCCTGAGGAAGGGTTATACTGGGCCACAGACGAGGGGTGGCTGGAGCTCTCCAATGACAGGACTTGGCCATGATAGGAGAGGTCACCTTCACCTCCTGAAACAGATGGCTATAGATGTGGCAAGTTGCTTGGATCATGACTTTCTACTGCAGAAAGACTGTGATCCTGGTGATGCCTAACAAAACCATGCTGACAGCCCCTCTGGGAGAGGCTCCTAGCTCTGCCCAGAGTGAAGGTTGTGCAGAAAGGGCTTAATATAGAATACCCCCCCACACATCCACCTTTCCTAGTGGCTCTACAGAGCTCCAAGATCATGAGACAGTCCTAGTGGAAAACTGGCAATTTAGACAGCCTCTGGAGTCAATGGTGAAGAGCTGAGGGCTGTAGCAGAGCCCTTGAAAGCAATGGAGAATGGTGCATTCTAGCACTATCCGAACAAGTTCCCTACTCTGTCTTTGCAGGGACTGGAGGCTGGAGGCTGGAGGCTGGAGGCTGGAGGCTGGAGGTGTGGACCTGGAGTGGATGCAGTGCAACCCAAGTTAGAAACAGCCAGTGTTCTCCTCTGGAAGCTGGCCAGGACCGCAGGGGTTGAAGCAACACCAGAGCATGGATAGGATGAGCTGGCTGGTACTGAGGTGATGGCAAGGAAGGCAATAGATTTCTCCTCCTCCTTCTCATGGTCGGGACTATGTAGGAGGGAGCTCTATGGCAAGAGCGCCTGCTTCTCTGCAGAGACCAATGCACTCAGCTCTCTAGCTCATGGGGAGCAACAGGGCTGACCTTCTCTTTGTGCTAATCTCTGGCTCAGGGAGGATCATGAGGAGAAAAACTTCTGCTCTGACTTGGTAGGGACATCCCAAGCTCCAATGTAAGACATACTTTTCAGTTGTTTGCAGGGTACTTCTAATTTAAACTTCCCATTTCAATGCAATTCCTAGTCCAAGGCCTTGTGGAAGAGAGTGGCAAAATAGTTAACTATTTTCTGAAAAAAGTTAGAAAGTCTCATTGATCCATATTCAGTAATGTGAAATTCCAGAGTGGCTTCAGAGACCAGTTGTTGCCAGCAGGAACGGAGTTTGCCTCATCTACTTTGCCCTACAAAGGTCAGATATTTAGCCTGAGATGGTCATTCAAGATCCCTCTATGATCAGTGGAGAAACAAAGATTAAATCATTTTCCCCCAGAAGCCCGAATCTATCCCAGCAGCAACAGAAATCAGCTTAGATCAGACATTTACACCACCTCATCCAAAATTTAACTCAATAGAAAACTACAATCACTGTGACTGCAGGGCTAGAATCAGATATCAGCTCTACTAGGAACTTGCAGATATATGTAGCAATTGACAAGATATAGTAAAAAATACGAAATTATCTGACGTCCTGGGAGCAGCCACTACCACACAAAATGGCATTGCAGCCATGTACAGTGCAAGACAATGCAACTAACAGTGATATTCCAGGAGGCCCCAGGAGTACACTAGGTTATTGACATACATAAGAGAAAGCAATAAGGACACAGAGTCATCTGTGTTGCTTGAGAAGATCACTGACAGGCATGGACCGCAGCAGAATTACGTGGCTAAGCCTCAGAAGACGGCACAGAGGGAAAGGGGTTCTCACAAGTCCATGTGATACGGCAAGGGGAACAAACAGTATTGAAACATTTTTATTTGGTAGTATTGAAATGTGCTAGTGTAAATTGTTAACTGTTAGTGTTATATCCGACGGGAGAGATCTGTCCAAGGGGCAAAGTGGAAATGACTGTGGCATTATGCAAGGCTCATGTTGCATAGAGCTTTCCAGTTAAAGTTTCAGACGAGTTGTCTCTGAGTGCTTCCTGAAAAACCACAGGCTCTCATCTTCACAGAGTCTCTGCAAAGATTTTGGAAATCTTTTTTCATCTTCCCCAGTGCTGCACAGTCTGCCCACCTCCTCTCACATTTCCCTGACTTGGTAACACATGTCCTCACCCAGCACACACCCTCTGTGTGCAAGGACACCCCCTTCACCAGCCCTAGCCTCAGGGAGAGGAATCAGGCTCTGCTTGCAGCCCCAGCTTCAGGGAGCAGCCTCCTCCCTCTGGAGAGCTGCCCCAGTGTAGGTCTCCACTATCCTCCACCCTAGATCCTTTTTCACAAGCCTAAGAGCCACCAGAAAGCTTACTGCATAGGACACATTTGAGGAAAAACTTCTTTACTGTGAGGGTAACTGAGCACTGGAACAGGTTGCCCAGAGAGGTAGTGGAGTTTCCTTTCCTGGAGATATTTAAAACCCATCTGGATGCGATCCTGGGCAACATGCTCTAGAGGACCCTGCTTGAGCAGGGAGGTTGGACTAGATGATCTCCAGGGGTCCCTTCCAACCTAAACCTTTCTGTGTGATTCTGTGTGATGTGGAGCAGGTGAACATTGCTGTCACCACACACTCCTGTCACCTGTGCTGTCCACACAGTACAGCTAGTGATACAGTTGTATAAAGTCATTTGGGTAGTAGACTGGCAGTATCTGCTTGAATCAGTCATAGCAGAGAGTTTTTCTTGATCTTTCTAAGAAAAAAAGTTAATGAGCTTAGCTGATTCACTGAAACAACAGAGTGATTATCCTACTCAGAGATAACGAAGGAAAGAGAACATAGGTGTGGATTCAGCACTTCTGAAGAAAGACTCGTGAGAGTTGCCCAGCTGAGGAAAGGGCTTGAGCCGAATTTTCTAATGAGGTTTTGCAAAAACATACCACTTTTTTTTTCCATGCAAAGCCTACACTGAATGACATCAGGATAGAAAAGCACTCAGCCACAGATCGCTTTCTGTATTATGTTATTCAATAATAATCACAGTGCTCAACAATTTAACAACTAAACCCCCAAATGTAACAGGCAGGCCTGACATGTTGGATAGGGCTGTGTGTGTGTGCACTCACAAAAATGGAACAGATTCCTAAGTTTGAAAAAGCTTTTTAATATTATTATGAAATTTCAGTAATCTGTCTTATGCTGTGTGAAGTTTATAAACTGACACAGTTGGAAGAAGCTTAATGTGATAAGAAAAAAATGTTAGACTCTAAAGTCTGGGGAGTTTTTATGACCAATTATTTTCTTTCCCAAATAAAAGTTCAATGCCACTGCTATTTCAGTAGATCCACCAGAAAAGTGTTCTCATTCACAATGCTACTTATGTGGTACCAATAAAATTCCAGCTGCTAATTCCTCAGGCTGCTCTTGCATACTGTACGGTTGGTCTGGTATACATCTTGGCAGATGTTTTGGCAGGAGAAGGTGTTAATGAATTGAAATTGCTGCTAATATTAAAATTAGATGATTTCATTTCAAATTCTTACAAACCCCAGAAAAAAAAAGGATCCTAATTTGCCAAGTGAGAGGAAAACTTTCAAAAAGGAAGAAGCACTGTTTCAGGGGGTATGAGGGTATTGCAAACAACAGTGCAGAGAAGAAATGTAACCCCACTGCTTGTTACAACAGAGGGATGATGAGGGCCATTAGGGGCATCGCCAGCCAGGGCCCCATC